TGGGGGTCGCGACCCACAGGTTGAAAAACACTGATCTAAACAAATGGTTAGCACACATATTTTTCAGATTTTTCACTTCAAATTACAAAGTAGCCATATTTCAAACTAACCAAATTCCTTAATGCATAAATCCATACATCCCCAGCCAGGACAAAAGTACGGTTATGAATTAACAAGATTTCAAACCATCTGAGTTCAAATTAACGAAGATTTCCCATATACATATTTCAGTTTTTCCATTTTGTCTTTTTCTACCCCTTGGGCACTAAGAGGATATGTTTTAATCACACTCATTGTAGGTTTGGCCAGGTCCACAACGGAGACAGCAAGACTGCGAGGGAAAAAGTCTGAAATATTCAGAACAGACAACCCAAGAAAAGTTCCCTGGGTTACTTCCCAGGTCCCAGTACAAAAGGCCCAGGCTTAACCATCTCAGCCATCTGGCTATCTCTTAATCAAGTGAAGGTAAAAATATTCCCAAGTTTATTTGTAGATTTTCTTTTGCTTATCACTTTTTACAAGTTGGTGATACTTAAATAGATTTGTTATTTTCATTATCAATTTCATACTATAATAATAAGTTAGGACAATAAGACTTACTTTATTGTATAATTGTTCACGAATATCCCTAAAATGAATATATTCTTTGTAACAGGCGATACAAGCTGTAATAGGCCTGGAATGAATGACAAAACAAGAAATAAAGGCAGAAGACATTTGAGCAAGATTTTTAAGTATTTCAGTACATTTAGGGGAAATATTCTGCATGTAAGATACTTCTGAAATTCTTTTTAAGTCGGAGAATTCATCAAACTTTGAAGTTTCAAGTGCAATTGTTGGATCATGCAATGCTGAAAACCCTGCAACTTCTGTAATATAGTAAAGTATAAAAGTCATCATCATCATCGTCATCATCATCATGTAAAATAAGATAAATTACCTATTGTTATGACCGGTAGAAAAAACTTTAAAGTAAATATAAAAGTTAAAAATAATTTCATTTTTAATACAAATAATACACATCACATGACTCATTTCAGAATCGCACGCACTCTGGTGGATTTACAGTAAAACACAATTTTAATATACAAATTTATGAATTTTATTCGTTCAGTTATCATATTTACCGAGTTTTTACTTAATAAACAATTAAAATAATATTACGGGTAATTATTGCTTAAAATATTTATTGTATTTTTAATAAAAAGTTTTTATCAATAAGCTATAAAACTTGATTGAATCGCCTTGGATGTCAAACTGTTTAAGACAGTGTTTTTCAACCTTCTTGAATACGCGCGACCCCTTTACAAGTTAAAAAAATTCTGGCGACCCCCCAGAACCATATTAAAATAATATCAGTGATTTTAAAAACTACGTATTTAAACGTATTTAATTTTCTTTCTGTTGAGACCTAAATATCGATCGAAAAACCAATTGTACTTTAAAATAAAAACGCAAAGCCTTCTCGCTGAAAATTGTAGTTTTATTTATTGTAGTGTAAGACCTACAAACACTTGTCTTTTTCTTTTACCCGCGACCCCCCCCGTGTAAGGCTTACACGGGAAGTAGTGAAAAGGATGGTGAAGCAACAAAACGAACTTTGCAGGAAAACAATCTTTAGCAAACGATATGCAGTAGAATTGACCTGACTAATTGTTATTCTCTTGCCGAAATGATCTAAGACAAATAGTCATCTTCATTTAGTTCTAAATTATCAGGTTTATTGGCTATTATAAAAATGACACATCATATACATGAAATTAACAGATACGAGGGGTGTTCATAAAGTATTGGACTTTTGGTCGGCAAAAATACGTTTACTGATTTTGAGGTACAAAACCATAATTCCCTTCAAAGTAGGCTCCTTGGAGCGCTAGGAGAAATGTACACATTTCTCCTAGCGCTCCTGCCACTGCTGGAAATACTGCTGGAACGCATCTTTAGCGATGGTGATAAAATCCGTCGAGGCGTTTCGATAGAATAGGTCCGAATTTGATCCTACCTCGTATAGTAGTAGCTTCGATCTCGACCACGTGTCTCACGTCCTTTGTTGGTCGTGCAGGACACTGATTCCTTGGAAATACCTTACTTTATTCCTCGCGACTACGGAATATCTACAAAGGCCTAAGGGTAACATTCTATGAGCGGGGGAGGGGGGAGGGAACCCCCCCAATCGGTAGACCCCCCCTTTGTGATCAATTAATGTCTAATGAACCACACCCCTACGCGCGACCCTTCACGAGATACTGTTGTCGCATGAACTCCATCTTCGTCTCCTTCACGAGATACCGGCCTAAGTTGAATAACTGTACAAATATGCGTTCGTTGTCGAAGTTGACTCCGAAAGATTGGCGTAACAAAAGCGAAGGTCGGCGTACGAAAGCGTCTCTCCAAATCGGTGTCCGAGGACCAAGTGAGGTCAGAGGGGAAAGGTCAAGAGGTGGCGCCCTCTGCCCTACACACTCCCCCCCCCTAGCGGTCCAGCGTATCGTATCCAGGAAGCGAACGGGTGGTCGGATGACGCGTCCTGATGACGTTTGTCTTCCTGTTGTCTTGGCGGGTGATGTTGGATGTTGGCTGACGGGTGGGGTCGACGTGCTTGTAGGGTTCGTTCCAGTAGCGGCATCTTCGTTTAGAAGGAATGCGGGTTTTAATCTATCTATCGATACCCTTTTAGGAGAGCCCGCGACGTCTATATCGAAAAACTTTTCGAAGCGGCGACGTACGCGGTAGGGGCCAAGATAGGCTGGACGAAGTGAAGGATGTCTGCTGGGTTGAGTACAAAGACATGCGAACAGTCTGTTAGCCGTTTCGAGACGAAGGTCGTTCGCTTCCCATGTCGAGATGTTGGGGACGGTCTTAACGTACGAAGGAATTGTTGCAGCTGTCGCATGAACTCCGTCTTCTCCGCCGCCGGGGAATCCACCAGAAGTTCGCCTAGTAGTCGTAAAGGAGCCTTCTTTGATGGCCGAGCGTAGGCCTAGGAGGACGAGAGGCAAAGCTGCGGTCCATGGGGTCGCCTGTTGCAGGTGTGCTGAAAGGTCTGCTTTTAGAGTGCGATGTTGTCTCTCGATTAACCCGTTAGCTTGGGGGTGGTAGGCCGTAGTATGACTGATTTGAAAGCCTAAGTAGTTGCTTAGCGATCTGAACAACTGGCTTTCAAATTGTCTACCCTGGTCTGTTGTGATTTTTGTAGGAACGCCGAAGCGTGCAAACCATGTGTCGATTAGTGCCTTGGCTACTGTGTCCGCTGTCTGGTCTGGTAAAGGCGTTGCCTCCACCCACCTCGAAAATCGGTCGACAGCGGTAAGAAGGTACTGTACCTCGATCCTTCTAAGAGTGGTAGCGGGCCGACTATGTCGACGTTGATGTGTTCGAATCGTGAATTTGGGACGAAGAATTGACAAATACAATTCGTGAATGATCAATTTCTAAAGTATTGTATTCTAAAAGAAAATAACGTTTATCTTTTCTCTTATCAGCTATCATCAGTGATATCTGGTGAACTTAAAGAAAGTGTCTTGCCAATGTTAAAAAATAAGAGCTAAATTAAAACGGTTATTAATAAACGGTCCTTTCGCCTCCTAAAAAAATTTTTTTTCAATTTTTGTAATGTTTTTTAAGTCTCCAAATTTTTGCAAAAATTTTCACCCGGGCAAAAACATTTTATCACGATTTTAATCTACCTTTAATGACACATGATAAACGCTTAATTGCTTTTTAATGAGATTTTGATATCGAATTTCATTCATCGTTGTGAAGTTCAAGTGCACGGTTTTACTTCGGTAAAGTTATTTAAAGCTACTTTCTGATATCAAAAACGACATTCAATAGTTTTTTAATTTTTTAAATGAATATATTTTGTTATAACAATTAAAACCATTCNCTTTATTTGGATCACGTTCGGGTCACCAGTTTAGCGATGGTGCTAAAATCCGTCGAGGCGTTTCGATAGAATAGGTCCGAATTTGATCCTACCTCGTATGATAGTAGCTTCGATCTCGACCACGTGTCCCACGTCCTTTGTCCGTCGGGCAAGATTAATGAGGACACTGATTCCTTGGAAATACCATATTTTATTTCCCCGCAACTACGGAATATTTACAAAGGCATAAGTTAAATTACTGTACAAAGGTGCGTTCGTTGTCGGAGCTGACTCCGAAAGATTGGCGTAACAAAAGCGAAAGGTCGGCGTACGAAAGCGTCTCCTCTAGTCGGCGTCCGAGAACCAAGTGAGGTCAGAGGGGAAAGGTCAAGCGGTGGCGCCCTCTGCCCTACACATGGTACACGTGACAGTGTCGCTGACAGGTGGACGTTACCAGGATATCCTTGACGACCATCTGCTCCCGTTTGTTCATTCTCAACAGCCCACTACAGAGATTGTCTTTCAACAAGATAATGCACTGTGCCATCGCTCCCGAATTGTATCGGAATGGTTGGATGAACATTCCACAGACCTGCACGTGCTTTCCTGGCCATCACGGTCACCTGACCTCAATCCAATTGAGCACATGTGGGATGCAATTGAGAAAGATGTTTAAGGCTCCGACCACCTTCCATCTAATCTTCGTGATTTGTGGGAGATTATTCGGGACTTGTGGATACATATGGCTTCCCATCACTTCCAGTGTCTTGTGGAGTCCATGCCAAGACGAATCGCAGCCGTCATCAAGGCGAAAGATGGTGCTACACGCTACTAGACAGGTATCCCTAATTCAATTCCTCTTCAGTAGATAGAATGCAAGATAACTTAACTCTCATCCCAACGTCACCTCAAAGAATAGACATTAACAATTTTGAAAGGCTTCTAAATGAAATGAAATTAATACATTTAGAATTAGGTAAAATAAATAAAGTGAATGAAGAAATTCGAAAATCGATAGAATTTTTAACAGACAAGTTTGATAGAATGGAAGAGAAAATTAACATTTTGGAAAAAAGTTACGTAACACTGAGTGATATAATTTCAGAATTAAAACAAGAAAACAGATATAGGCCCTATAAAAATTGAATTAAAATCTTCGCAAGAGCAACTGCGAATGTTGGAACAAAGTTTAATTAAATAATTCAAGCTTGGAGATTGTTGGCATGCCGATACTTCAAAATGAAAATTTAATTGATATAACAAATAAAATTTTTTCATATGTCAATGATTGTTTTAATCAATCAGTTTTAAACGTATATAGAATTAAACCAAATAATAATAATCGGAAATGGATCACGACCGATTATAGTGAAGTGTGCAAACCCAGTTAAAAACAGAGAAAAAGCTTAAAATTACGACAAATGTATGTTGTATTATCAATGAGGAATATAAAATATATATAAATAAACATCATAAAATAAGTCAATTAAACCATAATGGGAAAACTACCGGCGATGATCATATTTATCTGTATATGTCTCGACATCAAGTATTTATAATTTATTAAAATAAAACAATGTTCCGTAAAAATCATTTTGTTTCGTCGTCGTTTTGACTGAGTTTTTTTCCCTCAGAAGGTGGGAATTCAACTACTTCCCAGTCACATTCGTTAACCTCCTAACACGTAGTTTCGAATCTCGTCCGGCTGTTAGCATTGTAAAGTGTGACCATAGGGTCGGTATCTCTTCGATACCCCGTCAGGATGACACCACTGTATCCTTCGGTCGATACAGAGACCACCAGTTCGCGCGAGCGGATAGGTATGAGGGATGGACCCGGAATGGAGAGATAAACGGAAGAAACTGCACTCGAGAAGGGTTTAACAAAAACAACCGTTTATTTGTATATGTTTAATGTAGGTTTACATTAGTAAATAAAATAGTTCTAGTTTCATCGATCATTTTCTAGTTACAACTGATTTCGCGTTTAGTTTACGCAGAGAGAGAGAGCGTACAATAGTGCGCGGCAGGATAAATACCTTAGGTTGTAGAGGAGATCAAGTCCAGCACAAAAAAACGTTCAATAGTTCCTTCCAGTTGAATATGCAGTGCCATAACTAGCCATTCCTGTGCCCTGTGCAAGAACTTGCATTTAGGCCCCTTAATTAATTAGGTTTGGGAAAATAATAAAACAAACACGTACATTTTGGGACTCTCTTCCAAATGGGCCCTGTGCGGGTGCACCTGTTGCACCTGCTTAGTTACGGCACTGTGAATATGTATTGAAGTCAGATGAGTTCAGTTCTAGTCTTGTAGGCGAGGAGGTGTTGGTTGACGGAATCTCGGCGGGAGGTAGACGTTCGGAGCGCGCACACAGACACCAATAATAACTTCCACCCTTACTCATCGTGCCTGTGCCCTTTTATATCAAGTCCTCATTTTCGAACCTTTCTCCGATTTCGTCAGCGATGACGATCTTCTTGGTCCAATGAGGTGACGGATGACACAATCGTGACACAGAAATGTACTCATCTCAACAAGGAACCCAACTTGTGGGAATCGAGATTTTTATTGATTTTATTTTTCCTTTTTCTCTTTTAATTTTCTATTTTCTCACTCCGTCTTTATAAAGTTTATAAGAAAAATATTTTAGTTTAAAACACAAAATTTCTGGTCCTCACAAAAGCATAATTTCGAATTTCATCTAGGACCTCAAATTATAAAGCAAAACTACGATTTACAGTGCAAAAAAAATTTATGATAGAATTGAGTGACCAGAACTTAAAACAAGTTCATCTAAAAAATATGCTTGTTCTGATTCTAGAAAACCTATATCAACCTAACTATTAAATTATAATTAAAATACTACTTTTTTGTTAGTAGATTTTCAAAAAGAATCTTTTAGAGAAATTTACATATTCTTTTTTTTACCCCATCAAAGCATTATTAGTAATAATGTACTAATATATTGTTAGTACCCATCTATCTTTCTTGACGAAACTTTGATAAGACATGGCTGTAAGTTATCTGTTACGGCTTTCCTGTTTTGTACCAAGAAATTGTCAACGTCTGGCAGCCGAGCTGCGAGCTAAGCTATGAAAAGCTATGAATTTGGACTGGAGCTGAGCTGGAATATGTAGAAACAAAGCTCATTTTCACTTTTCGTGTGATAGACTATGTATATAATGTGGAAAAGCATTGTAATCGTGTCAAATTTGATCTTCCTGAGTTTCCTTTTGGTGCAAATCTCGACGTTTTCAGACATCTCTAAATTCAAAAAAGGAATAGGGAGAAACTTGTATGGATTGTGTTTGTTTGCGTCTATTTCGTTTAATATCTAAGGATGGCGTAAAGATTAAAAAACGAAATTTGTCATGATAACTATTCTTAATTAATGCTATTAAATTTTGGTAGAGAGTTGGGAATTTAGAATGGGGTCGGATTAATGAAAATTTTACTCGTTATTGGAATTTGTTTGTTTGTTTATTAAGTTACGGCAACGTAGCACTTGGGCAATCTGCATAGGGAGGATGTTTTCCGGGAATTCTTTTTAATTAATGGTAACTGGCCCCTATTCAGGCCTTACAGACGTGGAGAAAACCCAGAAAACTCCATGTAGCTAGCCCGTCCTGGCGAGGCGCGAAACCAGGACCGAACTCTCAATGTTCAGCAAACCGAACCGCTTGGCCATTGGTGGGCCAGTTATTGGCATTTACAGTACTTTTAGAAACTGTACCCTCAAAATTAAGCCTTCCTTGCGTTTTTTTATTCATAATACAAAAGTTTTTTGTCACCATCTTATAATAGATGACGCCACACACATTTTAACTTTGTGCTAAATGTGTCAGTGTTTCTTAAACACAAAAAAATCCAGCAACGAGTTGCATAGGTTTTTAAATTTAAATCATATCTGTAATAATAACAGATACATAGTCGGAAGTGTTTTCATGTCTATTATTGAAATGAGAGCATTCAAATAAAAACTACTTGTGTATTAAGAAATTAAAATATGATCAATTTTAAGATTAAGAGAAGTCATAAAGGGGTGTAGTAGTTCGTATCCTCAGTGGCATAGGGGGTACGGGGTATACTTTGAAATATACCCCGTATCCCCTCTGGACGTGCCACCTCGCATCTCTTTAAATTAGCGTTAGTTTTACTAATCTATATATATAAAAACGAATGTATGTCTGTCCTTCATGCATTACTACACCATTTATCCGATGGCCATGAAACTTTGGGAAGTTGTTTAAGACACTCCCGCGAAGGTTTCTGGCATAGTACATTTATCCTACGATAGGTTGCGCGCCTGTATACGAGCATTTCATCGTGAGCATTTCAGCGCATTTAGGAGTTGAAACTTGAAATTTGGTACACAGGGTACGTTACGAGAACGCACACTAAGAAGGGATTTTTCGAAATCCCCCGCAGGAAAAGGGACAAGATAAAGGCTTCAACAATGGAAGTGTTAAGAGAAAGCAACGTGCAAGGTTTACAGGCGCGGATGCGGTTTTTCGCGTTTTGCGGGAAATCGAACATATTTTTAGACCCATCTAAAATTTTTCTAATTAGTCTGGAAACAGGGGAACCTAATTCTTACATTCTGTGAAAACGGGTAAGATTGGCTGTAATGTAATAATCTTAATCTTCGCTATCGTTACTTTTTGCCCGAGCAATGCCGGGCTTATCTGCTAGTGAAAAATAAAATCTTTGAGATTGCTTTATCATCAACAAAGAAACATTCTATGTATTTCTTTTGTTTTAAAACATAGAAAGAGAGTCCCGGTCTATACTCTGGCCGCATATAAACTTTCAAAGGGTCCAGAGCCTGACATAGCAAGGACTGACCAGACTTTGCATGGTAGGGCATAGTCGGAGGAATAATTTGACACCAATTAACGAAGTGCATTGGTAACCCCGATGGTTCCTAGACATATCCTAACGTCTCAAAAAAGTGGATTTGAAACCATTAGTCGCACAAAACGCAGTTTTAGTTTACTATTTTTATCCATCAAATAAATAGTTAGTGATTCAGTATTTAATAAATATTCGTTCTTTTTTTCTTGATTAAGATTTGCGTTGACGCACTAATGAAACGTGCTCTGCTCGCTTATGATTATCGTGCTCTACAAATTGCAAATCCCGTATTGACAGCATCATCTCTATTCTATTATTATAAAATTATACTTTAAATAAATCACGTAATATAATGTAATGCGAAAATTAGATCCAGCCTTCCAACTGATAGCATTCCGGCTCCGGGAGCCGACATAAATCATTATCATAGTTAAAATTTTAGATATCTTCTTTTGTGTCTGTAATTTTATATTATGACAAGAAATGCGATTGAAAGTATTAATTCATTTTAACTTTAGTGTTTTGAAGAAGAACGATGCACGTAATTTACAATATTTGGAGATGATAATGAAAAGATCGCCGTCAGAGGTAGTTGATAACAGCCGAGTCGTTTGTTTTCGTTTGGTGCAGTGCAGAGAGACGCAACCTTTTGCAGTGCAGACGACGTCACGTTCGATCCAATCATCCCCTGTACTCATTATAAAAGCAAAAACATCTGATGGGGGAATACAACTTCACTTCCAGCGTTAGATCGTTGTCACCAGTAGACTTCCAAACGAATTCAAGCAATATTTATTATCCTACAGAAAATACAATGCAAGATGACGATCTATTACTCGATAAGAACGGTTCAAAGCAGCAAAATCAACAGAATAATGACAGTACGGACGAAAACGTAGATGATTATGGTCCTAAAGACGAAGAAGTGCAAACCACAGTAAATCATCAATTGGAGAAGAAGGAAACATCTACTTCAGATGCACAAAATACTACAATTACTACAACGTCGACTAGTTTTTGGTCAGAGGATACATTCATCCAAGGAGTTTCTACTCTAAATGGAACGCTCTCGTATCAGAATTTTCCCGTGTCGACGACGAACATTACGCCGGGTGGTTTTAGCACTACTATACCCCAATTAACTATGAATCAAATGACTATGACCCAGCAGAATCCTCCCCCATCTCAACACAGGAGGGCTATAACTGGTGCACATAATTTTGCCCAGATGAGGCAACAGCCGCAATCAAATTTGTTTAAAACCTACACGAATTGGAGTAGTCCCCAACAGCCGACTTGGTCCGCCAACCCTCAGAGTGCCCTCTCGCCGTGGAATGCCATCAATTTAGCTAATCAGAAGAGATCCGTGCCAAATTTGAATCCTCTCTCCGCTCTGAAGAAGACGACACCGTCTGTTGGGCAACATACGATGATCTCGCCGTCCAAGTTTCGGAGGAGTACGTCATTGCCGACCGGAAAGACTTTTCCTCATGGATTTGGAACAAACACTGCTTTCGACATATCTGGTGCTGATGATAATAGAGATGGTAATCTTATTCTACCATTTCAGGTAATATTTCACAATTATTTCATTATCTATAATTTGTTTTAGGTAATGTAAGGTAAATTTCTGACTAATATTACAAAACTAAGTAAGATTTCTTAAAATATGAAATTTTGCCTATTGAAATTTCATATTTTTATTATTACCATATGGTTTACATTATGTAAATATTATTTACAAATTTTATAATTTGCATTTTATACCTTAACTTTTTTTACTGAATATTTTACAATTAATGATGTAAGCTTAATAATGATGATATTGTTTATTCATTTTTATTAATATCTTACTAAAAATAGAAGCAGTGTTTTTATCTAACAATTGTGTACATAGAAAAAAATAAAGGTTACAGAATATATCAACATTAAAAGTGTTTTCATTTAGAATAAATTTTTCAAATAATTTAATGTAAAAATACTTGTAATTTTCATCTTTATCTACAAATTTTGATATTTGTAAGATAAAAATATATAAAAATAAAATTTAACTAGAAATACAGAATTATTCCATAAACAAAATCAGAATTCATATTAATGCTTTTTTATAAATATAAAAAAGCATTAACATGAATTCTTTCTAATTGCATTCATATGCCAGACAATATTTTATTAGGATAAGTCAAAATTGAAAAATAAACTTTAATAAAATGTTCTTTAGAAATTTAAAATGCTTTTGAATTATCAAAATTTATAATGATAATTTATAATAAGTTAAGAACTCAAAAAATTTATGTAAATTAATTATTCAGAATGTTTATATTTTAAATTTATTCATTTGAAATGTGTTTTATGTTGCCTGTATTATGGTTATTACAATATCTCTGAAAGCACTAACAAAGTAATACCAATACCATAATTGGTGGGAGGGAGAAAAAACAAAAAATTCTTAGGGTGAATAATTACTTAACTGTTTCCTTTTTCATAACACTGTCAAATTTGCTGATTTGAAAATTTTTAGTTTGAATTATTGGATAATTCAAACCTATTATTTTTCCTTCAAATCAGTACTTAAAAAAGTTGAACTTTGTGAAATTATATATATAAAAATAAAATTTAAATAAAGTTATAAGAATCAGAAAAACGTTGTACTTAAAATTAAAGATTCTAAAAATATTAATCCAATCTTAAGATGCATTGCATTCTGAGAAATCAAATAAACTAATATTAGAACAACCAGTGGCGTAGCTATATATTCAATGCGCTGGAGCAACTAGAATTGGTGCACCCCTTTGTTCCTCAGAAGAGGTCTCTCAAAATTTATTTTGTACATTTACTTTAAACATATATCTAATTATTTTGATTTAAAACCTTACTTAATAACAATTTGAGATTCAAGGCATTTCAACAATGAGATACAAAATTTAATAAATATAAATAATAATAAAGAATTACAAGGGTAGGCTGAAAAGTAATGCACACATGCTTATAGAGTACAAACTAAATGATTTTCAGAAGTGTGCCAGGTGGCACATGGAAGTAACATTCCCCCTCTATGTGCATGTGCGGTTTGAGGTTTTTTACGTTCAGTCAGTATATTTTGAGAAGCGGAAATATGGAGACGTGTTCTAGTGCTATGTCAACGCAAGTTAAACAGCATGCTGTTATTGAATTTTTAACTGCTGAAAAAGAGACTCCTACTGAGATTCATTGTCGTTTAAAGGCTGTTTGTAGTGATGATACTGTTGATATAATAAAATTGTGTGATTGCGAGCCTGGAAAAGCCATAATTGTTAATGAAACACGCAGTGGACGTCCAATCACTGCCACAGACGATTACTGTTGCGTCTCGTTGCAATGTGCAATTCTTCTCAGTACATACAGACTAAAACACCTTTGATGTTGAGTTTGCCATGTTAGAGGCAGCCTGGCACCAATAATCTTGCAACATGACAACGCTCGTCCACTCACCTCGTGCACAACTAGAGAGGCTCTGTGAAACCTGAAGTTTGAACCAATTCCACACCCTCCTTATTCCCCTGATCTTGCACCTTGCGATTTTTATTTTTTTTCCTCTACTCAAGAGAGAAATCAAGGGTGATCATTACACCTCGGACAATGAGGTGAAGGCAGCTGTCAAGTCCTGGATTCAAGAAGTCGGAAGAATTTTTCAGTGACAGAATGAAAAAACTTGTTACACGTTGGGAGAAATGTGTTAGCCTTAATGGTGACTATGTTGAAAAATAAATATATGATTTTGAAGCTTAAGAATTGTACTTTATTGTACTTTTTGCCCTATCTTGCTATTTGTTTTTGTTTGTGTTCTACAAGCATGTGTGCATTACTTTTCAGCCTACCCATGTATATTTTGTTTTATTAAGTGCAGAATACCTAATAATATTTACTATATAGTATATAAACTGTATTGACAAAATGTATGCAAGTTTAGTTTTTTAACAAATACATAATAATACATAAAACACTTCAAGATTGTTGACAGATTTGCAAACAAAAAAGAGAGAAAACAATCACATTCTCCAGATCAAGTTGACAAGCTATTGTTTTTTCAATTGATATAGTAGCTAGAGAAGATGGAGTTGTGACATGCTACTTCTTAAATAAGTCTTGGTTAATGTTAGTTTTGAAAAAGTTTGTTCTGCTGTTGCTGTCATTGCCTGTAAACTTAAAAAAGTGAGGCATGCTGCAGTAATGTCAGAGAACCTACTTGAGGCTGCGGTGTGAATTAAAAGTAGTTTGGCAACTTCATTTATACCTTTTACCTGATTGTAAAAACACATTTTAAATCAAAGCAGTTGAGGTCCAAAACTAGGCTAAATATCAGAGGGATTTGTAACAATTCTGACCTGGAATATTTTTATCAGGTGATGTGACAAGATATGCAGGTGATAATCACTTAAAAAGTGTACAAAATTGTTGAATGGATTCAAATCTAATAGATATTCGATTAATTATTAAATCCAAAAATATTTTACAAATATTTTTGCAAGTTTTTATTTTGCCCTTTCTAACTTGGTGCCCTCATGATTCGTGCACCTGGAGCAGTTTGCTCCAACTACTCCATGGTAGCTACGCATCTGAGAACAACCAACATTTAAATAGTTTGTTAGTTACAAGGAAATGTTTTTTATTGTTATAATAATGGAAAAATTATTGTGTGTACATTTGTAGACTGAATGGACTTACTGAAAGTGGAAAATCCTAGTTGCCTGATTTTTGATTGAGCTGATAAGATGTGGTCATAACGTGATCATCAGAGGTTTCAGTAATATTGTTTTTGTAGATCCTTTAGTATAACCTTTATTGAACAGAGGAACAATGTCTGCTTCCCAAACACATTCAGAATTTTTTTAACTTCAATTTTCTTGAAACTCAAAATTTTGCAAAACATTTGTAAATCATATGGTTCTGTGGAAGCATGCCTTAGGGTCGAGTTATGAACTCAGTATCTGTACCATATTCCATAAGAAAAGTTTGGATCGATCAAACTTTTACAGTAGGGATATAGAGAATTGACCAACTGCACATGTGCTAAATCACCATCAATCAATATACAATTGGAAGTTGTGCCGGAAGCAACCCACTCAACTTTGACAAATTGGTTGAAATGTAACTTTTGACCCGACAATGTTGTTTTTGAATGATATAAAATTTTAAGATAAGAGTTACTTTGGTCATAAAAAATAGAGAAATGATAAAATGAATAAATAATTATAGTATTAGATATGGCAACTCAGCCAATGATTTTGCACATGCTCATGATGCACTGCTTTGTAAATTATAAAAAAGTTTGTTTCTTTACGGATATGGAAAAGGCCTTATGGTAGTTTATAACTATTGCTATAGATATCCAGTGTAGCAAACATTTATGGATATGGTTATGTTTCAGAGTTTATAATTCAACCCTTATTCATATAATGCTCATTTTTAACAGAAAATAAATATTTTTTGAAAATTTATTTTTGGAAATGGTGTTTAAATGTATATTTAACAAAGCATTTTACATTTAGGAATGTAACAAGAACAATTTGATATTTTAAGCAATACAATAAATTCAAAAATCACTAGTTATTATTAACTGCCAGTTAATAATAACTAATGATTGTTCACCATTACATACAACTGTATGTAATGATGAACATTCATCTTTTAATGTCACTTCTCTGGTTTCTTATTGTTTTTATCTAAGTATATTCTCTTTTCATAGCTAATAAAACAGGCAGACAGTAAAGAATAATAAAATTACAAATTTAATTTGTTAAGTTACAAACTATAAATAATAATTTATTCAAGTTTCAGAAACAAACTTTAAATTTATTTTTAATAAACAATTTAAACAAGTAAGTGCATATTTTTAGTAGAAAATAACTAGCTAATGTATATATCCATGTAGTTTATGTAAAAAAGCTCATTCATTGATGTGCAAACCAGGATCTTACAAATATGAATATACTCTTACTGAATCATGTGGTTTTCAATGATATGTTTGAAAAATTTACTTGCAAGTTGCTCAGAATTTTTTAACTTCAGTTTCCTTAAAAATGTCTATCCCATTTTCCATTTGTTTGATGATAAGTTCATATCTAGATCCTTTTCCAGACAAACATTATTATTGAAATTGTGAGATTTTCCATTTTCAGTAAGTAATATGAAGGTAGTTTACAAAACATGCACAAAAGTTTTTCATTTTCTGTTGCATTCACTAGTTGTGAGCATTTTTATGCCCAGTGTAGCTGCATTCCATGTAGCCATGCATATCACATTTCTTTGCTTGCAGTTGCTATGTTCTAATCAGCACTGATGGTGCTGCCCCTAATTGTCAATCTTGTCATACCCTTTTGTATTGTTTATTGACATGGAATTATAGTACATTCTTTCAGTTGCTACCATTGAGTCCATATGTTATTTCCCAATCCACTCACATCTTATGAATACATTCCAGATTGCAAGAAGGATAAAATTATTTTAATTTCTGATATCATTCTACTACTAATTCAATTTTCAACTCTTTGAAGAAGAAGAAACAAACTCATTTTTCCTTCACCATATGGC